ATAGATATGTCTATATAAAACATGTACCCGATATAAGTATTAATAAAAAGCTCAGACCAAAGAGGTCACCTTAATACCAAAAAAAAAAAAAAAAAAAAAAAAAAAAAAAATAATTTTAGTAATTTGTTATAATTTATTATTATATAATTTATTTTGCTAGAAATAGCAAATTATCATAATAGTAATAGTACCTTAATTTATTTTAATTGTTTTAAATTATTTAAGTTCTATAATTAATGCTTAAATTATTATCTTTGTTAGTTATTTATGGAGTTAAACAATGGATTATGTTTATTAACTTTTACAAATTATAAGCAAATAAAGATTTGAATTGCAAACAAATACTTTATTATATATTATAATCTAGATTTTATAAAAGATCAAAGAAATCTGTTTTTATTATTAAAATTTCTTTTTAATTCTATTATTATGCTTTATAGAAACTAATATTTATTTTTATTTTTGAAATTTTATAATTAAATTTTTATTAGTTATTGTTTTTTAAATATTAAAAATTTGACCAATTATATTATTTTTAGTGGGATCATTATGATGATGAGTTGCTATAAAATAATCTTTATTTTCTTTTATGTTTATTATATTATCTACTAGTATGTTTTCTTTTTATTTCTAATATGTTCACTGGTTCTCTTACATCAAGTATCAAATTTTCATATCAGAAAACTTCTTTTTAAGAACTTTCTTATATACTGATCTTCTATTCATATAAACTTAAACTATAAGACTTTATATACTTCTATAGATTACAAAATTTTGCTTTTAACTAGAATTAAATTATTGATCTTGTTTGTAAAGAAAAAAGTGTTTAAACCATTAGGTTACAAAATTTTATTTTCTTTTATTAAATATTATATAAATAAATATTTTTAAATTTATTATAAAAATTGATAATTAAAATATGAATTTTTGATTGGCTAATAGAAATTGCTTCTGGGTAGATTTATGTGTTAGGTTTTGTTGATCACTATAATATAGTAAAAATTCTTAGTGCTTAGTATAAAGTTAAAGGTTAAATAATTATATAGTAAAATTACTCAAGAAAACTTTTTTGTTACAGCACTAAAAGTGGTTTTTTATACTGGTTTTTGAGAAATGGGCGATTTTTAACAAAACGAATGTTTGTTTTTTGAAATTTCCTGATCGTGTTACATTACACCTGATTCTTGAGATGATCGACAAAACCTGGCACAGATTTTTTGAGTGCTAGGCAATCACGGGTAGATCGCACAAATATTGACCAATTAAAACAAACTTCTATCACCGTGAGTTTGACAAACTCGAAATCCTTTCTTTCAGCAAACATCGTACCTAAAATCCACGACATATACGTCATTGAAAATGCGGCCTTTATCAGGGTTTCATCATCCTTTCTTCAGAGGTTTAGTCTTTCGTCAAGGGATTTACCATTCGTCAGAGGGATTTGTTTTTCATCTTTCACCTGCTTTAAATAAAAGGGTTTCGTTTAACTATGGACAATACTGTTTTCGATCTGATTTTACGCCACGCCGCGTAAAATACCGGAAAGCACACAAAGGGCGAGTTCCTGTTCGTACGGGTGGTTCGACTAAGGGTAACACAATTGTTTATGGCGAATATGGCCTACGCGTGAAGGACGGTGTCCGTTTGTCTTCGAGCCAACTCACAGCAGCTTGGCAAGCCATCAAGCGCAAAATAAAAGTGATTAAAGGTTCACAAGCATGGATGCGTATATTTCCTGATATTCCTGTTACGAGTAAAGGAAATGAAACCAGGATGGGAAAGGGAAAAGGTTCATTCAAATACTGGGCATGCAGAGTGCCTTTGAATAAAATTGTATTTGAAGTAGGAGGTGGAGGCATTCGAAGAGAAGTTGCAAAAGATGCATTGAGGTTGGCATCTGACAAATTGCCTGTAAAGACAGAGTTTGTGGAAAATGTTTAGGGATTTGCACGGCCTAAAAATTTGTACTTTTACCGGCCTGCACAATAAAATCTGTTTTCAAAGTTCGGCCCGCATTTTACTATGTTTTTAACATACCAGGCCGCAGTTTTTAATTTTTTTAAATTTCTAGAGAAGCATATGGCAATTTCACTTAATAGGTAAGTTGTAAGAATTACTATTTAAAATTTATTCGAGTATAACATTGTTTTTCTCATCAATTTATTTTAAATGTGACGGGTTTAAATGCTTAAGCTATTTACATAATAGACTATTGGTATGTGTGTAATATGCATACTATGCCTGTCACATCTCAAAAGAAAGAATTAGTGTCTGAAGGTTTACGTTCACTTCGCTTAGACTGAAACATGTGAATTCATAAATTAGATAAATTATAAAGTAAAAGAGCACAAAACTGTCAACATAGTTACCTCAAAAAACGCTCGAATATCTTGTTCTGTCACTGTCTTTCCAGAATCATCAAATGGTTTCAAGAATTCCACAAGATCATCCCTGTTTTAACAATGAAAAGTGATATATGTGAACATTTAAGTATACAAAATAATATAATTTATAAAGTCGGTTATACCTTAGTTTTGCATATGCAATCGCTCCTATGAAAAATATTTTGTGTCAATGCAATAAATAACAAATGAGTTAAAACAGATCACGTAAAATCAAAACCTTCAATTGCTGTAACTCTATCCATTTGTGCTAACAACTTCATTCCGCTGTCAAAAAGTGAAGTATCTACAAAGTCATTGTTTCCAAACCAGAATCAGTATATGAAGATAACTTTAAAATGAATTGATCAACTCACGCGTATCATCATCATGTGGAGGTTCGTAAGTTTCTTCTTCTTGTAGGATAAACTCTATTTGATGCGATTTATAAAGATACATACACTAAAGAATATATGTCGTTATTATAACCTGCTAAATTGCCAAGAATCTTGTATTTATCATATACCTTGTTGCATCTGCACAATTCATCGCGCCAATTTTGTATGCAAAATAAATCAACATCAATGCTATCCATAACAGACTCCCATCGTTCAAGTTTGCATTCAATGTCATTTTTCGCCTTTTTGGTTAACGCGGTAATTTTTAGATCAATTTCCTGGTCATCGCCTAATTTTCTTTTATTTGTAGAAACGAATGTTTCAACTTGAAATTCGTCATTTTTTTGTTTCTTATCATTATCTGTTGCACTAGCTTCTTCATTTTTCCTTACTGTTGTTCCTGAAAAGAACATATACGAGTTTTTATAGAGCTTAAGAAAAGAATGCTTGCTAGTACATGTGCGACAGATATATTCTTCAAAACTATCCAAATCAGGCAGCTACCATAATTTGACGATATCGGATTAGTTTAGTATATTTTAAGCTTCTGTTGGCTTATAACACAATATATAAAATTCACAAACCGAAAAATTTTTTTCTCCTTGTTTTTCCCCATCGATGCAATTTTCATGAAACCAATCTTCACATAAAACGCACTGCAAGTAGAAAGATATAACGCTTCAATTTTTTTTTTTTAAAGAGTTACACGCCATTAAATTATACAATCTTTACTTGATGCATATTAGCTTCCTCTCGTTCTGGGTCGTAATCAACCTTGCACCTTTAATTTCATTTAGTAATTAGTAATTTAAAGAAACAAATTATATAAACGTTTCATTTATGAGATTAAATTAGAATACAAACCAGCAAAACCGGCCTTCAAAATTATGATTATAGCAATTGGTTTCATTTAACGCGTCTTGTGGCTTTGGTTCTAGTTGACATGCACTTTCTTCAAAACATGCTGTTCCGCAATCACATCGAAAATTGCGCTTGTTAAACAACTCAATAAGGTCATGATCTATAAATAGTTTAACAAAAAGTAGGGAAGCAACTTTGTTTGATAAACGTAAATGCACTTTCTTGTTTATTATTACCTGCATGACAAGCAATGGAACAAGAATAACAAACACCTCCTGGACTAGAGTCTGAGCTGGACTTGCAAGTTTTACAAGCATACACAGCCTGACGCAAATATCCCTTACTATATGTGCAGCGATCAAAATTCCATGGTAGAACTTCTCGAGCTTCTTCTTCTAAGCTCTTTTGCAGCTCCAAAAACTCTCCAACTGTTACTGTATCTTTCGTGTCTTCTGAAGCCATTGCAGAAAATGTTTTTGTTTATCAAAAACTCTTGAATTTATACGTATCGATATCGGCCATGTGTCTCGAATTTACTTATTTGTTGTAATACAAACTCCCAAAAAGGGGACGGTTAAAGCATTCACATAGCGATATCCCTACGGACACAGCATTTTAGATTAAGATGTTAATCGGTCCAGCAGTCAAAAAATAAAATTCCGAATCATGAATTTAGAAGAGTCCAATAATTTGTTTTTAATATTGAAAAGTGACTATAATGAGTTTTTTTAATAGCTCTTACAAAAATTTCCATTAAGGGTAGGGTGTACTATTTGAAATTAGGCCATACAAATTTAATAAATCGGTTTTCATAAAAAAGTGATCTGGCAACCCGGCTTTTAATTTTATTTTCAAAATATTATATATATAAAAAAACATAAGGTGAAATGACGAATATTAAATATCGTTGACTTTTTAGATCTTTTATATTAATATTCATGTATTATATAACTATTTTAAAGAAAAGACGAATAAATAACATATCAAATACAAAACTTTCGATCATTTGCATACCCATAATCTTGCGCGTCGCGTTCGTTTTCTTATTTTGGAACCTGTATTACTTAACATAAAGTTAGTCACGTTGTTCTTATAATGTTTGCAATTATCAAGTTTGTCAATTTTTATTATATTTATTTATAAATTAATTAAACTTTTTTTTTTCTCTTTGGCAGTCTTGTTATTAACCTCTATAAAGATTTGTATTCACTAATTTATACATATTTTGATTTTAATTTTCTAGTCTAACATTTTTTTTTGGTTTTTATAAGTATATTGGTCATACAATACCAAAGGCATTGTAGTAATTTGAAAGCTTACTTGATTATTATTTTATAATAGAATATTAGTTCTTATGTCTAAGTGATGCTTTAGGATTAGGTTTTAAATTTTTTAGATTTTAGACTTAGGTGATGTTTTAAAAAAAGATTTTTGATTAAAAAAATCTAAAATTTAATAAAATATTAAATAATTTAGTAAATTTTGATATTTTTTTAAAAAATAATAATTATAAAATAATAATATATATTTTTATAGAACTTTTAGAGTTGATAGCATAGTGGTTATATTTTGAGGTTATAAATTACAAGGTTGCTAGTTCAAATTCTAGTAATAGTAATTGTAAAAATGTATTTTTAAAATAGAAAACTGCAATATTATAAAACCAAAAATATTAATAAATAAACTTATTTTTAGAAATAACAAGTGATCTGCAGTTAAGAAGTCACATGGTAATAAACATGAGTTAGAGTCTAATTTGAAATAATTAAAGTTGTGAGATATAATATATGATCAAAAGTCTAATACTTATAGATATTATATAAACTTATAGTAATAGTTAATTCTTAATAAAGTTTAATAAAACCTTCTAATTTTAACAAAGATTAGTGTGATAAATTGTTTCTAAAAAGTTTAAAACTATAGACTGTGAGAAATTAAGGTCCAGTAACTTTTAATATTAAGAACATTATTTGAAAATATATATAGACATTAAAAGATCTTGATAAAATTGTTAAAGAAGAAATATATATATATATTTTTAAATATTAAGATGAGTACTTATAATCTAGAATTTTATTGATAGTATATTTAGCTAATAGTTGCATTATAACTACAAGGGGCAACTATAGAAAAAGTGTACAACTAGTCACTCATATTTCTTTAGTTATTATTTAATTTAAGTAGTTTATCTAAAAGTTCTACACTAGCTATTATACCTAGAACCTGTTTATAGATTCTCTATTTAATCATTCTAGTTTCTGTATTTATCTATTTATCTCTGTCTACTAATAACTTCTACTAATATTAGTGAAAATATGCCATGGCCACTAAGTCTTTAAAGCAGTTCTTTAGGATCTTTAATCTTGTACTAAATCTTTCAAAATCTTTTGTATCTCATTTTTATAGCTAATCTAGTATTGTTATAGTTAAAACCAATACTGGTAATTAGAATATACTATTAAATCACTATGCTATTGTAGAGTTCACCCCAATCCTGGTACTAACTTCACAATATATTCTTACTACTTTGGTATTTAATTCAAGTTTTACCAAGCTGCCATTTCAGATAGTCCAGAAAGGTAGTCCAGAAAGGTAGTTCAGAAAGATAGAATATAACCATATATCTCTGGTTTACATGTTTGCTAGCATGTATCCTTTTTCTTTGAAATCTAGAAATTCTAATAACCTGGTTTGTTTATTTGATTCCTCCTCAAAGACTGACACATTTGCTTAGTTTTATAAGTTTTAGCTCTGTTTTATAAGTCTAGTCTTTATAGTAGATTGTTGAAAGATTGGATTACCTTTCTATTTGGGTTTTTCAAATAAGCTTCTATTTTTCTTTATTTGGTTTTTATAATTTACATAACCACAAGGACTTATTGTAGGTTTGTACTATTTAATATCAGTTTACATTCCTTTATATAATCACAAACCTTGTTCTAAAGAACAATATCACATGACTATTATACAAATGCCATGTGACCTGCCACTTATGCTAGTGCAATATAAGTAACAGGTATTTTATTTTAACTAATTGTGAAAAACAGTTAAGTATAATATAGAAAGATTTTTAAATTTTCTATCAACACTAGGATTTGAACTCTGAACATGCCACTTAAGAAATAACAACCTAACTATTTCACTAAGTTGCTACACTCTTTTATATATATATATATATATTTTTTTTTTGGTGTTAAGGTGAGGCCTTGCTCATATCTTTATTAGTAATTTTAGTTGTATATATTAATATAC